TATAAATGGGGTAAAATTATAAAGGATTATCCGGGTTGGTATTTCAAAATGTAGCTGCTGACCGTACTAAAGGTTTGGCCCCATTGATTGAGTTTTCTTATAAGAGAATGTATGGGTGTTTTGCGGGGACATAATTAAGTGACTAATATTTAATGAGGTGACCATATTAAGGGGGTGACCGTAAAGCGGGGTTCCACTGTAGCTGACTTTTATATCATACTATTTGTTACGTACAGTGCTGTATGCACATGTATATCACTTTGTTTTTTACCAAATGAATATGACGAGAATTAGGAAAAGGTTTCCTTGTAGAGTTCATAGAAGGTATCAAACTGGTTTGGTCAAGTTATCAGTTATTCTTTTATGTTAAACACTATTTATTCACTGCTTTTCAAGTTTTGGAAACTTGTTTTCTTTAGGGTTATCCAATGTGAACTATTTACTTTTAACAATATTAGATAAAAGGAAGTTAGGCTGAGTTTTAAAGCTGTCCGTTATTGTTTATATTCCAACCCTCAAATTACTAACTTCCTACTAAAGTGATTGAACTGTCATATTTTGTCCCACTAGGCCAGATCCTGTGTAGTCAGTCATACTACCTTTTCCCAGGCTGTCATTGTTACCGTATGTTGCATGACATTTTCCCCCTTAGATAAAGTGATTTGAGTGTGTCCTAACTGACGATTTAGCATCCAGAACTCAGCTGGATCCAAAGACACCTTTCTCTAAGTACACAGCAATTTGAGGTGGATTCATGCTGCCTTAAAAATGTCTGGGTTTGCTAGCTATCCCTTCACCTAACATGCAGAAAATTTAATATCTCAAACAAATCAGCAAAACCGAATCTTGCACAGCTAGAGGTTGGATAAATCCGTTTTTTTACCAGGGTGACACGAGTCAATAGGGAGGTTAAGCATGGTGTTTACGGCAAACGGCAAACAGCAAAAATGAAACTTGCGCCGTCTCTCTTCAGCTGTGTGTACAGTAGAGTGAAATTATTTGTATTTACAATGAATAGTAACGGACGTTATTCCATTTTTGTGTGCATTATTTACGGATTAGAAGAAAAGAACTCAAAATCAGAAGTTATCTCTGCCGTTTCCCGTCTGCCGTTAATGTCATGCTTAACCTCTCTAATGCCCAGCTGGCTGGTGGAAAATGAAAAGAAAAATCTTAGTAAGAACCATACAATTATTATTACCTGGCCTAAAAGTCTTATTAACTCTCACTAGTTCTTTTTATGTACTGATAACTGCATGGACCTTTTTGTCACACTTTTCCAATGCTTTCATATTTCAAACTAATAACTAAGCCTCGCCACTCTTAATCATACAAACTCAGGAGAGTATGGGACCCCAAACTTGGCAATTTTTACAAAGAAGTGTCAGCAGGCAAGTGTTGTCCCCTGACAGACATTTTTTGTTAAAAAAAAAATTGCCTTGTTTATCCATTAACAAGATTTCAATTAACATACGTGAACCATATTCCCTTGATTAAGTGTCCTGAGCTACAAATCGGACTTGTGTGTTTATTAACTAGGGCTTTTTATTCAGTGTACAACAGAACTAGGGATGTGTTTGGCAGGATTATTTTGTTTTTACTGGGGAAATTGGAGCAGGAAAATGCTCATGATATGTCTTGTGCACCAATGCATCCCGCTGGTTCAATAAATATTTTTACATAAACTTTTATTTCATAAAAGACCCAGTAAATTCGTTCTCACTTTGGTCTAAATTACTGATGGAATGGAGAACAATATTGACGTTTGTTTCCACTCCTTAATAGTGACACCAAATGAAAAAAATATGGCACACGCACTAATGAATACAACTTTTGCCTATATAGGTTACCATAAGTCTCTTTACAGATCTTTTTGTACACCAGGAGTCATAAAGGTTAACAAATAGACTTTTCTAAGAAATAATTGTACAAAAATTGTGAAGGAGCCATGTAAAGTCCACAGTGAATTCATCAGTGTTGACTCTGACGATAGTGTTGACAAGTTTTCATCTGTACAAAAGAATTAATCCCAAGATGCATAGTGTTCAATCATGAGTAACACTACTGTACGTGGTCAGACCACAAAAACGTTATTTGCATATTTTTCTATAATTTCAAAAAACAAAAAAGAGCCCTAGGACTTTTTTAAAAGCCATGNACATTGGTTGCCATGGCAACACAAATGCACATTAGGGGATAAATAACCAGGGAAAAGTTAAAATAGGGCAAGGTGATGTTCGGAATGGCCGTTGTTTATTGAAGGCAGGTATAGGCGTATAGGCATAGAATTCTACGGAAACTTCTACACCCAATAGAGTGTCCAAATTCGGACCACACTTGTATACAGGTTAGCAAGTACAGATGAACCTTCAAATAGGAGTTCCTTCATCCAGGGATCACCTGAGGTGACATTTTGTTCTTATTGATGACTTGACAAGTGGATGCTACAGTTAACCAAACTTTGAATAATTTGATGATGAATCGAGTAACATTTGATACCCATCTAGATCGTGTTTATTTGTGACATGTTCAGGCTTAGATGCAACTGACATCAGCACAAAAATGTTCTTTCAACAGCACCATGAAAATTGCACTGTAGGCACGGTCAGACACTGGTCACACATTCCACTACCACAGCTGTAAAAGAGGACTGACAGAAGACTTGTGCAACCTAGAGCACAACTTAGTAGTAACTAGGTTCAAATGTGACCATTAAACTTCCTGCATTCTTGTTAAGTGTAGGATTAGTTTGTCAATGTGTGAGGATGCAAGGAGTGACATGGTTTACTACAACTCCTCCACATCTTCTCTCTCTGATCACAAACAAAAGTGCCTTGTCAAGCAAAACCTTGAGTTAAAGAGGTTCTTGGGAATAACTTACCACTGATGGACCATTGGGTATATTTTTTGGTAATCTGTCATCACCATTTATAGGGTAATCTACCCAGGCCTTTTGGCGGCCACCTCTTGAACTGCCACGGCCACCTCGCCAACCTCCACGGCCACTACGCCCACTGTCTTCACGTCCTTGATATCTGCTTCCACCTCGACCACCTCTATATCCACCACGGCCTCTTCCTCTTCCCCGACCGCCTCGTCGCATACCACCAGTTACACCAAATGTCTCAATGTTCACTTTGCGTTCTTGTTGCCATGAAGGGTGTGCCCTTGAAAAGAACAATACAACGAGAATTCTATATAGCATCAAGAAACAAGATAAATAATTTATTTTGTTACAAAAAAAACATCATCAACAACAACAACAACAACAACAACACAAGACTAGGAAGTTGAATACTGCATTATTTTTTTCCATGCAGTAACATTTCCATCATCACGTTGAATGACAGTATTTGGGGGTACAGCATGTAAATTTTCCTGAAGTGTCCCAAATTAATAAGCAAATGTTGAGTGCAAACATTACCTTTCTGAATTGATTAAATATATAGAGTATGAATTTCAAATTAATAGGAACATGAAAACAAAATGACAACAACAACAACAACAAAATCAAAAGATATCACAAGTCAAGCTGAAAATACTGCAACCTACATTTCGGTATAAAACCACTTTACTATCGCTAAAAACCTAATAACTGTTTGTTAGTCACATAAAAAGACAAGGCAAATTCTGTTGATGGAGTCACACATGTACTACAATTAGTAAACCTTTGAAAGAGTTCCACAAATCAAAAACTACCTTCTGTTTTTGTCTCTATCATTTGCCTCACAAGAGATAGAGTCAAAGAAAGACTTGGAGCTATCATAAAAACTTTCAGGACTCTGTGGATGACAGTCATGGACGATATCATTTCCAGAAGTACTGTTTTCTGTACTTTCATCCTAAAAACAGCAGCATACCATTAATGGAGCTACAAGCAAAAGCCAAACTGTGGCTAACATTTCAGGATCAGCCTTTTGTCACTGGTAACCAAACTGCATTGTCTTAAAGTGGATGGCAACAACTTCCTGCACTTTTCCAATGCCTCTAACTTGACACTTGACAGATGAATACTACTACTGTTCATCACTTGATGCTACAATATCGGTATCACATAAATGCCCAGACACTGGTGAATCAAAAATGGTAATCTTTTTGGCCAAATAGGTTACCATAGCAACAGAACAACCAGTCAACTTTGCACCTCGTGGTAGCAATTTGTAGAGAGACTTAAAGAGTCTTACTCAGGCAAACAGTTTGAACAATGCATACAGCAACTATTCACTGGTGAAGGTACTTCAAATGATGTCTATTTGGCTAAATGTCTATAATGTCAGTAACCATGGACAGTAAATCTGCAGCTGGTATCTTATTATAAACCATCTCTTGGCTTCCATTTGCCTCCTGTGTTTCCACTTAGTGGATTTTTCTCCAAAACACGTACAGGTACAAATAAAACACAAGCAGTTGTTTACCTCATCTGTAATCCTTAGATTTTCATGGAGTTTCTGTTGAAGTTCCTCTTCAATCTCCTCCTTGTTAAACTTGGCATTTGAACTCTCAAAGTCAAACTCCCCTTCAAATTTGACTGGATCACCACCAGTTCGTGGTTTAGAACCTCTTGCACCTGAGTCTCCTCTTCTTCCACGAGTACGACGATTACCACCTTGTAGAAAATAACATAGATGCTATGAATCATTATATAATATTTAAGATAGTATGCATGCTCTCATTGCTCAATAGGTGTTTACAGTACCAGTCAAAGGGACTGCAGCATTACACACGCATTAAGAGTGTGTACTACACGCACATTACAAAATTACTCACAGTCGTTCAACTGGAACTCATTAAGTGCATGTAATGAGAACGAAATATTAAAAGTA